CTGTGAGAATATATATATAAAACAAACTAAATATTTCCCATCATACTATTCAAATATGAATATATAGCACTATTGTAAATGAAACAATGGATTCCCTCTACTGTGACTTTTGGGGGGGGGGGTAATGTTGATCGCTAATTTGGCTCCTGAACCACTGAGGTCTTTGTATCACTGCTCTAGTTTAAGGTCACACAGTAATTGAGTGGTAAAGCCAGGATTAGAATTCAAAAGTTCTTAGCTCATTCAGCTAGACTACATTGCCTCCAATATGAGAGAGTCAATAATAATGCTTTATTCTGTATTAAAAGGCTGTGCTACTTGTACGTAACATTTGAAAGTGACTATGCTTCCATTGGCATAACTTTCAATGGCAATAATCGTAGCTATCTACAAAAGTTTTCACTGAAAATTGCAAATGTGTGATCTTAATTGTTGCTCTATTCACTCTCCATTTTTGATGTTCTTGAAAGGAGTGCCAAATTGTACACCCATTTAAAGTGTATTATTATATACATGTGTAATGTGTATGTGATATTCTGAACACTTGTGTTAATTTCTCAATTTACATATATATGTCAGACAAGGAAAGCTAAAGATTTAGCTCCAGACTTTGGTTGTGCAAGAGATTTTTAAATAGTGCAGTTAAGTAACTCAAGGAGGCTCATGCATGTAATGCCGAATAAACTTGGCACCTTCTCTCGTTATCACTGGCAGTTTCCACATTGCTTTTCAGTATTTGTGTCTTCCAAGAACAGAACCAGTGCCACGTATATGGTGTATGGTCCTGAAGTTGCAGTACTAATTATTGCTTGACAATAAATTACCTTAAGTCTCAAAAGGTTACTTTCCTTTTCAGAACAAGTTCTACTGCATATTGGCCTCAGAATCCATACAGGACCAGCTCCAGGGTTTTTGCCGCCCCAAGCAGCGAAAAAAAAAAAAGCCACAATCGCAATTGCGATTGGCAGCACTCCGGTGGCAGCTCCACCGCGCCGCTTTCTTCTTCGGCGGCAATTCGGCGGCAGGTCCTTCCCTCCAAGAAGGACAGGGACCCTCCGCCGAATTGCCGCCGAAGAGCCCGACGTGCTGCCCCTTCCCCTTGGCCGCCCCAAGCATCTGCTTGCTGGGCTGGTGCCTCAAGTCGGCCCTGGATCCATATAAACAGGACTGGGGACGTGCAAAGCTCCAAACATGTTTTCAATGCAAATTTAAGTGCTCTTTAAGCTTCTGCATATGAAATGCCAGTATTTGACCTTATCTGCAGCAATTTTAATGTCAAAATAAAAACAAGCACTGGAACTGTGTGTGTCTGAGCTTTAGAAAAATATCACCCTGAATTCTGATAGAGATTCAAACAGAAGGAGTTTCCTCTGAATGAACTTGATCTGGGGCTTGCTTTGTTGGCAGGAGAGGAACAATCAAACTAAACTTTGTCCTCCCAAGATTTTTTTTATTCCAGTCCATATGCCCAAAACTATTCTAAGACAAAACGGAATCTCAATTTCTTTACAGAATTTTTCAAATACTGGTGCAGAGGAAGGAATAGATCACTTCCAGGATACAATCTCTTCAGCCTCTCTGCCACATAGAAAATCCCATTGGTGATACATAAGCAATGTGCTTATAGCTATATCTCTAATTTCTGACTGAACCAACACAGAGTCAAATCTCAACATCCTCTTCCTCACAAATCCTATTCTGCAGCCTGCTCTATAATGTGAAATGTTGCTGCTTGGTTTTGCAGATTCGAAATGTGGCAGCCAATCTCTGTGTGGACAGTAAACATGGGGCCACAGGGACGGAGCTGAGGCTAGATGTTTGTGTGAAGGACGGCTCAGAACGGACATGGTCGCATGAACAGGTATTTTAACGACATAAAGAAAAATGCAGTGTAAAATTGTTGCTTCTCTTCCCCAGATTCTAAAGACTTTTCTGAGGTTTTCTCCTCCTCCTAAGTCTAAACACGGTGTGGACTTTTTAAAAATCTATTGTTGGCCTTAATAGCTTTTACAAAGCAAACCTTAATATTACCTTAGGTTTTCCACTAGTCATCTTTTTTGCTATTTTCCCCAGCTTCATTTATGGAAAGAGGAGTTATGCCCAGAAGTTCTTTAGGCTTCCGATTTTTGCTTAGTTACACAAAAATGTTGACTTTGATTCATTTAGCTCTTAGCATTTCTGAAAGTGGACATGTTTGTCATGAAACATCCACATCTGTATTATAAAAGAGCAGAGGAGCCTACCAGACATGTCTCCTTCTTGTCCCTTCAGCTGAATAACCCTAATGACTGGAAATGAGATAAAAAGATTTCAGATATGGTGGATTCAAAGATTGGTCAGGTCAATGGCCAAGAAAATGATCTTAGCAGTTATGTTTTAAATGAATTTGGGGTAGAAGGAAGCAATATGTGTTTCCAATAGTAACCATGTGGATTCAGAGAGGCCAGAAAGGAAGAGGTGGAAATAAAATAAAGTACATTAATTAATTTATTATCAATCATGTTTATTAGGACAGTACCTAAGAGCCAACCAATAATTATGCTAGGCACTATACTAGTAGTTAGTCCCTGGCCTGATGAGTATACAGTCTCAATAGACAGGACAGACATGGGGCATGAGAATGGATCTAATACACTAGGAGGGTGAACCATGTGATGGCAACAAACATTGTGTTAGTTCCCAATATTTTTGGGAGGTGTAGGGGGTTTACTTAAGAGGGGAAAAGCTAAATGGAAAGGAAAGGCCAGAGGGTGAGGGGACAGGTCAGAGGAGAAAGAGGTAAAAGGGGCAGGTGTAATAAGGATGAGGGGAAGAGACTGTGAGGGAGGCAGAGGGTTGGAGCAAACAGCCAATCAGCACAGGGCAGAGAGAGTGCAGTCAAAACTGTAGAAAGTTCTCTGAACACTGAAAGATCCCTGGTTTGGCTGCTTCTACTACAACCATTACCTGCTGGCTAGCTGCTCTCTGCTATTTTTCTCCAAGGCCATATGCTGAGGGGGAGGGGAGGGGAAGGGAAGAGGGGAGGCACCACCTGGCTCATAATCCCTGCACAGTCCTGAATCCAGGGAGATTCTGTTACGGTGGGTGGGTGGGCCTGGCCAGAGCCCCATTTTGTCGTCTCCCATCCCAGTGCAACAACCCTCCTTTGGCTGCTTCTGCTCCTACTGTTGGAAGTGAAGGAAAGCAGGGTGCTGGTATGGTACTTGAATGAGTTAGGGTAAAGGGATAGCTTTTTGAGAATGGGGGGGCAGACGAGGAGGAGAGAGAGAAGATTGAGAGCAGTGGAGACATGAGAGTGAGGCTAGGAGGTTAAGGATTGATTTGAGTGCAGTCTGTAAGTACTTACATGGAGAACAGAAATTTGATAAGGCTCTTCAATCTAGCGGCCAAAGGTATTAAAAGAAATCCAATTGCTGGAAGTTGAAATAGATAAATTTTGACCAGAAATAAGGTGCACATTTTTAACAGTGATGGAATTAACCATTGGAACAATTTACCAAGGTTTGTGGTGGATTCTCCATTACTGGATATTTTTTAAATTAAGATTGGATGTTTTTCTAAAAGAGATGCTCTTGTTCAAACAGAAATTAATGCAGGGTAGTCCTATGGCCTGTGTTATGCAGGAGGTCAGACCAGTTGATCACAACGGTCTGTTCTGGCTTTATAATCTATGAATCAGAGGTCAGGTTAGGAAGCAAGAGAGGAGGGGTAGAGGGGATGCAGGAGAAGGCACAAGAAACCTTAGTGACAGGGGAGAGAGTTTGTTGGAGGAAAGAGTCAGAGGTGCCGATTTTGTGATTTCCCCAGGGGTGTTGGACTCCAGCCCCGCCTCTTCCTGACCCCGCTCCTCCCCTCTCCCCCCCAGCGCCTCCTGCATGCCACTGAACAACTGATCACCACTGGGCAAGAGGTGGAGGAGCTGATCGGCAGAGCCCACCAGCAGGCGGGAGGGCAGAGGGGGATGGGGAGGGTGCCTATGGAAAGAATAGTGGAGAAGGAGAATGGAACTGATCTTTGAAGAAGACAGCTAGGCCCCGATCCTCAAAGGTGCTTAGGCACCTAACTCCCATTGAAATCAAATTCCTGTGTCGAAAGGGAGGGAGGTAATAGGAAGGTGGGAGAATTTTTGGAAGGAGGCGATAGTTGGAAATAAATGACTGCAGGATTTTCTGAATATTAGAGTGACTATAAGCAGATTTAATTTAAGAGTCAATCAAACTATGAGTTTGATTCTAGTCTCCCCAACATTAATGATCAGTAGTAATTCCATCAAAGGAAATGAAGTTAAACCAATGTAAGAAGAGAATCAGAACAATGGTGTCTCTTTAAACTGACTGATCTATGCTTCACAGACAATCTAAATTATTCCTGTATGGCTGACATGTAATCATATATGCATTTATACAACAGAATATTATGCAGAACAATGCAAGAGAATATGTCCTTGGAAATAACAGTGTGGTTTCATTGGGAAAGGACTATTGAAGCCCTAACTTTAGCAGACAGATAAGTGTAAGTGATTAACAACTTCAGAAAAAACTGGCAAGTTCTAGTGCAGATATTTAATGTGTATAAATTCAAGTAAAGTATATAGGACAAATATTTTTATTTAATAATTTAGGGGTCAGTCCTCCAAGCGGCAGATTGCTATTTTGGGTGGTGCTGAGCACCTCCAACTCTCTTGGACTCCCTGGATTTTGAAGGCGGTCGGCACCCTATAGAATCAAGCTCTAAATTGTTTGTATTCATTTCACTTGACTTTTCAATAGATTGGCTGAAATTTGAAATATGTAGTTCAAACATTTATCAGCAGAGGGCAGCTCTAGACAAGGAGAGCACCATGCAGGGTGAAGGAAGATAGAAAGGTTAATGAATTTTTAACTCTAGGAGATTTTCAATCCTCCAAACCAATAAAGATGGAGCTTTTCAGAGATTAAACTAGGCCAACAGAAGAGGGGGAAAGTTGATCACTTTTAAAATTCAGGTGAAAAGTAAATTTGATTCTAAGGTTAAAATGGTACAGTCTATTTTATTTTGAAATAACAAATTGGAGGTTTCTTTTCAAGATGAGATTACACTGTAACCAAAAGTTATTCTTTCAATTGTGGGGAACATAGTTGTGATTAATTTATCCACCTTTCAACATAAAGTCTTAAATAAAATAAGAAATGTTTCAAAGTATAAATACTATGAGGATTATCATCTCTAAAAGAAAATTAAAGCAACATAAATGCAAACTAATTTTCATCTGAAGAGGAACTTATTTTTCATCTTCAGGTAGTGTCCCTATGGGTGCTCCATTTCAGGTGCATGTGAGCCCCATGCACCTTTGACCAGAGATTTTCATTAGCGATATCCATTCAGCCTATGCATGTACCCTAGAAATCCTCGTGCCCCACACCGAGGCTATATAGGGCTGCACAGGCAAACTGCCCTCAGTTCCTTCTCAGCTATCTGTGCCTGAGATGTACCTTAGTGAGACTGCAGCAAGTGCATGTCAGCTACTTTGCCTTTGGTAATTTTAGTTAGTTCAGATTAGATTAGATTCATTTAGTTCTAGTTAGTTAATTAGTTTGTTGACTTTTATTTGGAGGACTTCATGGGAGCCCTTCCTCCCAGAGAGGGCATGCCCAGTACACTGTGTTTTAAACGCTACCTCACATGACATGAGGCCATCCCATTCAGCGACGGATACTCTACGTGTGTTCTCTGTTTAGGAGAGGCCCGTGTTCTGCTGAAATGTAACTTCTGTTTAGCCCTCAAATCCAGGACAAGAAAGAAACAGGAAATCAAGCTGCGACTGTTAATGATGGAGCATTCCCTTCAACCTGGTGTGGAGCCAGGTCAGTAGAACCCCCTGTACATCAGTCTCCGGGGGTACCTAGTGCCCCATTGACCTTGGCCCAGCACTCCCCTAGAAAGGGGAAGGGTTCAGAGACCTCCTCTAAATGTCCAAAGAAGAGAAGCTCTAACACACCTTTTAATGAGTCCACCTTGAAAAGACTTTGCTCTCCAAGCAAATCAATGGATTTGGAAGCCTTCACCTTGAGGCATAGTACCACAGAGGCTAAGGGTTTCTCCAGTACTGGTGGGTTAGAGAGACCCTGTAGCTCTAACAGAAAACCTAGTTCCAAGAAGGCACTTGTGCCGTCTGGAAGAGATGGGCATAGAAAAGCAGTACCGTCGGACATAATGACTCTTCCTGTATCTCCTGTAACAGGCTCTTCAGTTCCACATGTGACCAAGCCCCTGTCTACATCAGTAGCTACCTCAGAGTGCTCAAAGCCTTCGGTACCATCTGTCAGGGAGAAGCACACTGTCCGCTCGGCTCCGTGACTACAGTCAGCGCCACAACTACATGCAGTACCGCAACACTTGAGGTACCTAATGAATTTATCGGTGACTGCTGATCCAGAGTCTCCATTGCTTGCCAGTATCAAGAGCCATGGAGGAGACAGGGATTACTTCAGCTGAGCACATGTTGCTTGGTGGCAGCAACCTTAGCTGCCACCCTCACCCCCATATAAACCTCAATGGCCATATTGGGACCCAGGGGCAGTTATCACCAACAATTCTCCAGGCCCCCAACCCTGTCTCATCAGAATGATAGGGAGGCACAAAATTTTCCTTCCCAACACATCATTCAACAGGATATGTTTGTGGATCAAGAGGCTAGGGCAGGCAAAGAAGTTACCCCTCAGACTACCATCTTGTTCTCATCACCTGATGAGGTGGTAATGTATCCTTCTCTTTCTATGGATGATGATTTTCAGCAATTCCAAGAACTTGTCAAACAGGTGACAGACAACCTACAGATACCTCTCAACAAATCAAAGAATCACAACCCAAATGGTTGGATATTCTCCACTCTGCAACTCCATCCAGAGTCATCTGCCCTCTGAATGAGGCTCTCCTGGAACCTGTGAAAACAATTTGGTAAACCTTAATATCCCCTCTGTGTAAGAGAGCCAATAAAAATATTATGTTCCCTCCTAGGACTGTGAGTTCCTGTTCTCCTACCCTCCACCAACTCTTTGGTGCTTGATGTGGTGAATGAATGAAGTAAACACCACTGACATAAGTGCACCCCATATGAGAGAGGGCGGAAGCACCTGGACTTTCTAAGGTGAAAATCTTACTCATATACAACCCTAAAATTCCGCATTGCAAATTACCAGGTGTTAATAGCCAAGTACAACTTCACAAATTATATGAGGTTTAATTCTTTTATTTAACACATTCCTCCAGACCAAAGGAAACAATTCCAGGCTATTGTTGCTGAGGGACTGTTACTGGCCAGGACAGCCCTTCAAGGACCTTAAATGCTGCAGATACCTCAGTTCATTCTATCTCCACTGCAGAAGTGATGCACAGGACAATTAAATGGTTGCAATTATCTGGGTTCCCCAGAGAGGTCCAGAATACAATAGAGGATCTCCCATTTGATGGACTGAAGTTGTTCAAAAAGAATACTAATGCATCACTCCATGCTCTAAAAGACTTTAGAGCCACATTGGATTCATTGGGTACCTACACTCCTGAGAACAAAAGGAAATTTAGTAGATCCCAAACAGCCCAATACAATTCTCTGGGTTTCTCTGGGTTTCAGAGACCTATGGAACTTCCAAAAAAAGAGAGTTTCCAGAGAAAGAAATACTCTAATCCATCTGACCATAGGCGACAACTTCTAATGGCGCTGGTGGGTGCTCGACCCCCCTCTGCCCCCAGCCCTGCCCCCTCCTGCCCTCATTCCAACCCCTTCCCCAAAGTCTCCGCCCCCTCCCTGCCCCTATTTATCTCCTTCCCCAAATCCCCACCCTGGCCCCACCTCTTCCCTGCCTCCTCCCCTGAGCATTCCACATTCCCGCTCTTCCCCCCTCCCTCCCGGAGCTTGCTACAGCGGTTTGGTGGCAGCAAGTACTGGGAGGTAGGCAGAGGAGCTGGGACACGGCACGCTTAGGGGAGGAGATGGAGGAGGAAGTGAGGTGGGGTGGGGCGGGGAGGCAGGATGGGCAGCTTGGCTGCTGATGGGTGCAGAGCACCCACGGAGTCGGCGCCTATGCATCTGACACTAGTTCACAGCAGGCTGCTGCTTCTTCTAATGATCAGTTTTTACGGGATAGTCAAGCGTTTAAACCCTCCCCTTTCTCTGGACTGTCAGCTACAATCATTTGCCCACCTCCCCGCCTATTTGGAGACCTCTCTTCCATTTTCAACCAGCTTGGGAACATATCGCCTCAAATTAGTACTAGAAGTAATAATGGTCTACACCATTCACTTTACCTCTCTTCTCCATCCCTCTTCAGCAGTCCCTGTCATGAGCTCTTATTAAGACAGAAAATAAACTCCCTTCTTTCTACCTGAGTGACAGAACCTGTTCCTGCTCAGCACAAAGAGAAGAGGTTTCTACACAAAATATTTCCTTGTGCCAACGACAAAGACTTCCACATAGCAAGTCACCCATCTCACAGAAGATATGTGCATTTTGTTATAGGTCAGGACCACTTGCAATACCGAGTGCTCCTGTGTTTGGCTTTTCCTTGGCTCAGAAGGTGTTCTCAAAGGTTATAGGGTAATGGCCACCTACTTCCATTGACAGGCAATGGTACTGTTTTCATATCCCAACAGTTGATCTTACGTGGAGGTGCTCTCTGCTATGCAGAGGACACTTGCCTTTTCCTGGACTTGGACCTGCAATTGAATGTGGGACTATTCACCCTGACTCCAGTACAAAATATACAGTTTATAGGGACATCTTTGGATTCCCTGGTAGCCAGTGAATTTCTTCCCATGGATAGATGCTGAGGGCTATCAAACCTTGGCAGGTCTATTCAGATGAGCCCTCAAACCTCAGTCAACAACTGTCTTCAACTTTGGAGTCCCATGATGTTCTTGCACTTTTGTGACAGATCATATCCGATTATGCCTTCGCTGTCTCCAGGGATGGCTCAGAACAATTTACTCACCAAGCAGACACAGCTTATACCAATAGGTATCGGTTCCCCAACAGGTAAAACACTCCCCAAACTGGTGGAGAAATCATCACAGTGTAGGTATGGAAGTTCCCTTCCTCCGATTGGTGCCAACGGTAACTGCAATCTGTTAGGATGGAGGGAGAGGGAGGGCAGACCTTGCCATTCATACTGTACAGGGCAGATGATCACCCCAATAAACCACCCTCCACATCACCCTGTTGGAGCAAAGGGTGGTCAGAAATGCCTGCCTTCATTTTCTGCTTCTCATCAAAGACAAGTCTATCAGAGTCATGATATACAATATGGCCTGCATATTTTACATCAACTGGTGGAGGTGGGAAGGGGTCCCCTTCACTCTGTACCAAAGCAATAAAGTTATGGAACTGCTGTATATGGGATTGCATAAGAATTCTGCAGTGAATCTTCCTGGCAGGCAAAATATCACAGCTGATGCTCTCCGCAGGTCTTTTCCCCAAGACTAGGATTGCGAGTTGGCCTCTCAGATACTTACTGACATATTTCAAACTTGGGGCTTCCCACAAGTTGGACCTCTTCTTCACAGCCTTAAACAAAAAATGCCACCTCTTCTGCTCAAGGGACGGTTTACTGCGATTCATTGGTGGAGTACCTTCTTCCTCCCATGGACAGGAAGGTGTTTTATTCGTTTCCCCCAATACCTCTGATTCTCATGTGGTGAAGATGATCAGACAGGACAAAGCCAGAATTATCCTAGTGGCCTGACATTGTCAAGGCAGCATGGTTTCCTTACCTGCTTCACCTAGCTTTCTGTCCAGAAATAAATCCTCCAATCATTCCTCCACTCCTCTTGCAGGACACTGGTTGACTGCTGCATCCCAATCTGAGAACTCTTCACCTCAAGGCATCCTTCTTCAATGGTTCTATGAGTTAGAGTCAGCCTGTTCTGCAAAGGAACAGCAGATATTACTAAAAAGTAGAAAAGAGTCTACCAGAATTACTTACCTTCAAAAGTGGAAAAGATTTTGTGAGTGGTGTGACCACCAGAAAATTGTTCCTGAATCTGCCCCTCTTCCACTGGTTCTGGACTACCTGTTGCATTTAAAGAAAACATGGTTGACAGCTCTCTCAAGGTTCACTTAGCTGCATTAGCAGCTTTTCATTCCACAATTGAGATGTTCTCGCTCTTTGCTCATCCTACAATTATAAGGTTCATGAAGGGCTTGGGAAACACTTTTCCACAGGTGAAAGTCCCTACTTCGGTTTGGGACCTCAATCTGGTTCTTAGAAATCTCATGAAACCAATGGCAATCTGCTCATTATAGAACTTGTCTATCAAGACTGCCTTTTTAGTGGCTATTTCATCAGCCCAAAGAGTGGACAAAATTGGACCCTTAATGGCAGACCCTCATTTCACAATTCTACAAAGACAAGGTTTCCTGTGCCACACCCCAGATTCCCCTAAAGTATCATCTGAATTTCATTTGAATCAGACTATTCATCTACCATTTTTCTTTCCAAAACCATCTAAATTCCATTTTGTAGACTGCTTTCCACATTCTAGTGTCCGGAGAGCGCTAGTTTTCTGCCTAAATAGAACTAAATCATTCAGGAAATCTCCTATATTGTTCATTCCGTTTGCGGTCAGATCTAAAGGATCTACTATTTCTACCCAGAGACACTCAAAATGGATCTCCAGATGTATTATTGTGTATTATGGTTCTGCTAGCATTCAACCTCCTCCCAGAGTGTTAACTCATTCTACAAGCTCATCACAGTATACATTTACAGCCATACTTAAAAAATATCCCTGTGACCCAGGGGGAGCCCTCACTGAAAATGCCAAGGTCAGGGCAGGCTGCAAAAAGGAGAGCAGATACTCCCAAGATTCGTGAGTAACACGGAAGTTAAATTACCCAACCAGTCACAAACCGTGCTTCTGATCCCCACACTGGTTATCAAGAAGCAAAAAAGAATAATCACACATCCCACTTATTGTATTCCAGTTCTCTGGCCCCCAATCAGCACCTAGGTCCAGTACAATGAGAAGTATCAGAGGGGTAGCCATGTTAGTCTGAATCTGTAAAAAGCAACAGAGGGTTCTGTGGCACCTTTAAGACTAACAGAAGTGTTGGGAGCATAAGCTTTCATGGGTAAGAACCTCACTTCTTCAGATGCAAGTAATGGAAATCTCCAGAGGCAGGTATAAATCAGTATGGAGATAACGAGGTTAGTTCAATCAGGGAGGGTGAGGCGCTCTGCTAGCAGTTGAGGTGTGAACACCAAGGGAGGAGAAACTGCTTCTGTAGTTGGATAGCCATTCACAGTCTTTGTTTAATCCTGATCTGATGGTGTCAAATTTGCAAATGAACTGGAGCTCAGCAGTTTCTTTTTGGAGTCTGGTCCTGAAGCTTTTTTTGCTGTAAGATGGCTACCTTTACATCTGCTATTGTGTGGCCAGGGAGGTTGAAGTGTTCTCCTACAGGTTTTTGTATATTGCCATTCCTGATATCTGACTTGTGTCCATTTATCCTCTTGCGTAGTGACTGTCCAGTTTGGCCAATGTAAATAGCAGAGGGGCATTGCTGGCACATGATGGCATATATAACATTGGTGGACGTGCAGGTGAATGAGCCGGTGATGATGTAGCTGATTTGGTTAGGTCCTGTGATGGTGTTGCTGGTGTAGATATGTGGGCAGAGTTGGCATCGAGGTTTGTTTCGTGGGTTGGTTCCTGAGTTAGAGTTATGGTGCGGTGCGTGGTTGCTGGTGAGAATATGCTTAAGGTTGGCGGGTTGTCTGTGGGCGAGGACTGGCCTGCCTCCCAAGGTCTGTGAAAGTGAGGGATTTTGATCTACAATCCATCCTGGACAATGATCCCTCACTTTCACAGACCTTGGGAGGTAGGCCAGTCCTCGCCCACAGACAACCTGCCAACCTTAAGCATATTCTCACCAGCAACCACGCACCACACCATAACAACTCTTGTTATATATGTGTCATATCATTTTACTCAGTTTTTCAAATCTGCCAGTTAGAGGGGAAAAAAAATCCAAGAATCACAGAAATGTAAGATGAAATAGACCTGCTAGATCATTAGCCTATCTTACTGCCAGTGCAGTAATGGTACCTGCAATAGGCTTTAAGTACATTTTCTAGTTTAAATATTCCAAGTGAAATGTCTCACAAGGAATGAGAATGTAAATGTGTAATTTCCCTTGAGATTTGTCAGAAATCCATGAAAATGGGCCTGGTTAAAAGGGTGCTCCAGCAGAGTTGTAAATACACGATTCTAATTTTTGCTAGCTCTTTATCCTGATTTCTGTATTTGCCGATAGAAATCAAAAATGTTGATTAGGGTATCGAGTATTTTATTACTGTACCTATGTCTTTTTTAATAGCATATTTGCTATTGATCCCATTTGATAACTTGCTATAGAAATTTTTGGAGAGTTCAGTAGAAAAATCAGTGTCAAGATATGACCTGTATAACAGGAGTTAATGTATGCTGACCCTGCCTGGAGACAGTGATATAATATTTTGTATGACTTCACTCACATCGTGTAATTGCGGGCAAGAAATAAAGATGAATCTCTTGGCAGCACTTCTAGCTGGCACACCTTTATGCAGCCTTCAGTAGTCTGAAAAATGACCTTCTATACCAAGGTTCCAAAGGCAAAACTGCAGACAAAAGGGTTGTGGTCGTTTTTAAATTCCTGGTGAGGAGTGAGGGATCAGCGGACTGCAGATGTACAACTCTGTAGTTTCAGAGTTTTAAAAATGAAGATCCAGGAAACTTCAGCAGAAAGGAAAAACAAAAGGAACACAAAGAATATGTTGTAGGAAACAAGTTTGTTCTGGCAGTGAGCCAGTCTGGATGAGTAAATAGGTCTTTTCCATCTCTTATTTCTAAGGGCTAGATTCTGATTTCAGGCAGAACCCTGGGCGAGGGATCAGACATAAGTAAACTGGGATGTGCCAGCAGCAATTACACCTGTCTGTACAAGCTCAGCTGTACTGGTTAGCAAATAGCAGAGTAAAGTCATGGCTCTGTACCCTCCCTGTTCATATGCTCTGGGGAAGAAGGGACAGGCAGAAGGTGGGCACTCAACATCTCCTTCCTCCTAATCACCCAGAACAAACATCCAAGCAGCCTAAACTGGGATGGGGAAGCTCTTAGTCCCTTACATAGGCATGTAATCCAAGTCACAGCCCTCAGATGTTATGTGCTCTGTTTCCACCAACTTCAGTGAGAGTTGAAAGCATTCACCAGAGGTTTCCTATGCTACACACAATCAAGCCCTAGGAAAAAGGCAATAAGTGATAAGCAACATGAGTTTATAAAGGACATTTGTGTCAAACAAACTCTAGCTGTCTTGACACTATTACAGCTTTAGTGAATGCAGAGAAAAGCCAATCGCGTTTTTTTTTTGTTTTGTTTTTTGCGCCGCTTGGGGCAGCAAAAACCCTGGAGCCAGCCCTGATCAAATTATGAGGGAAGTAACAAGTGGAGTGTCATGGAGCTCATCACTGGGACTGTTCCCATGTAATATCTTCACACATTAGCTGGAGGATAAAATACCAGACTTGATATCAAACTAAGCAGAATTCCCAGGACAGTGGAGGATAGACTGAAATCACAAAATGATGAGCCACTGTAAAGTGATGAGAATGAAAGAGTGATGGATGACAGTGAACTGTCTCTGTAAATACAGGATTTTAATAATTGTCTTGGGGCAGTTGCTTCTCCCTCCAATCTAATTTTCTCCTTTTCTGCGAAGTTCTAAGAGGGAGTTCCAGTCCCTGCTGAGTTTGCTTTTATTATGGCAACACCAGGGAGAAGCAGCACTTGCAGAAAGAAGAGTAGATATTGTTTCAAAAGGCAACAATTTGAGAAGACAAAGGAAAAAAAAGCCCGATAGTCTGGAGGTTTAAGGTCCACTATTGCTCAGACCACTAGGGCTGGAAATGAAAGCTGTATGTTAAAAAATTAGAATTCTCAGGTTTCAGACAGGATATGGTTCACAACATTTATCTCTATCAGTCCCCAAGCCATCATCTAGAGAAATCATGCAATAATTGAAATGGCGGGAGATGAGGACACAAGCTGGTAATTTGAGTATCAATGCATTCTGTATGGCAGCGGTTCTCAAGGTCCATAGATCACCAGTGTCTGTAGCGCCCTTCCTGCTGGTATGCAGAATGAAATATTTTGAGAATTAAGCAGTGAGAGATTAGAATATGGCCCATGAGAGGCTCTGTCTCTTACAAAATAGTCAACAGAGTGAGAGTTTCAGAACCTCTGTTCCACACCATTGGGAAGCTGGGATTCCCAGCTTTGCATTGATGTCTATTGTTGGTTATTTTGAGCTCAGGACTGTAGCTTGGCTTGCAGACTAACAGTGATAATTTTTTTAAGGCTTATACTTTTGTGAAGCAGCAGCCTTGCTTCTGCAGTGCCAAATCCTGCTTCTCCCACTGCTGATGACATAAAAAGGTACCTCAGCAGGGGGTATGGGAGTCTTTGTTCAAGAAGCACAAAGAAATGGAGAAAATGACGTAACCTTTTACAAAGCAAGGATTGGTTTAAAAACCATGTTAAAGCTGTCCACTGTCCTTTACTGTAGATAAATGTAAAACAGTACTCTGAGGGAAGGTGGAAATAATAAGCACAGCACAGGGCCAAACAAGGAAAATGCTGGCTAGAGAACGTGTAATGCAGAAACAAATAGGGAATGATAGCAGATTACAAAGAGAACATGAGCTCACAGTGAGATGCAGTGGTGTGGAGGGGGAGCTGTGCTGTACATATAGTGGGATTGCCTGCAGACCAAGGGAGGTAATAATTCCTCTCTTTGCCATCTCTATACAGCCACACTTGGAGCACAGTGCATCATTTGCGACACTTCATTTTAAACAGAGCATCACTTTCAGAAAGAATTCAGAGGATGACTAGAACAATGAAAGGGTTAAAATATGCACCCTAAGACAGAGGTACTCAGGGCCAAGTTCTGATCTCCTTGACTGCAATGGCCTGGATTTACATAGGTGTAACTGAGACTACCTGGAAATTGACAGCTATTCAAAGAGCTAAGAGTTGGCACCATAAAATATACCAGCTTTCAAATTAACTCTGCTAGTACAGTACTGCAGAACTAATACCAATATATTAAACCTAAAACTTGTGACCTGTATTACACATTGGCTCGCATGAAAGGAAAATGCCAGATCTTTAAATCTGATGATGCCAGGCCTGTCACCTGCATCTTATGAATGAACGTTTTGTGGTGCTGCGCAGTAACATCAGGCAGCTGATGTCTGATTGAGCAGGACACTGTTACTGACTGTAAACCTCCAGAATCTCTCTCAGAATCCATGAAGAAGGGCTTTGATGATTTGCATGTAGATCACAAGTTGTAGAGGAGGGAGATGGATAGAACTTAATGTCTGACTTGGGAAAAGGGGGCAAAAGAAAGGAAATGATATTATACCATATAAATAAAAGAAACTGTAGGTTAAACATGACAAAAATTCGGCAGGGGAATGATCTATCTATGTAACTGACTGAGATACTACCCCAGTGATTTCTAAGTGAAGGTCAGAAAAATGCTGTGTGCGTGAGGCTAAGCTAGGATGATCTTCTGAACTCCCTGACTATTTTGCACCTGTGTTCTCTGAAATGCTGCCTACATATGAGATTCCAAAGGTTTACTAATTTCTTCTGTCAGTAACTCTGGAACTCTCCCCCTCTTCTTAGAACTGGGAGAATAACTAATATTTGTGTAATCTGAATTTTTTTTTCTGCCAAGAACTAGCAGTTGTTCCATACTGATGTTTGTTCTGTGGTGGTGTTAATGCACACATTTAACCAACAGAACTTTGAATCACTATATCATCAACTGGTGTCTAATTAATCCTTTTCCATAACATGCAAAGGAAGGGCATATACACTGGTTTGGTTTTTATTTTTAAATGTCTTTCAACAGCCATATAGTATCATCTTGCCTGTTTTTTTTTTTTTTGTAGCTCTTTACCTTTGGTTGGAGAGAAGACATCCGCCCCGGGGAACCTCTTCACACCAGAAAATTCTGCTTCGATGCCGTTTCGCACAGTAGCCCTGTCACACTGTATGACTGTCATGGCATGAAGGGTAACCAGCATTGGAGCTATAGGAAGGTTGGAGTCACCTTGGGTCATTTTCAGATATTCATACTATCTTGAGTCTGTAGTGAATTTGGAGAACAATGTGTTTGTCCAGTCAAAAGACACTGGTTTTAAAATCCATTATGGTTTATTCCAGTTTAGCTTAAATGAGAATCTCTGTAGAGCATGTTTCTTTTAATATGCAGTAGGCATTTATGCACATTGTGTGCATTTGCAGCTACTTAAGTCAAAGTTAAATTAATACAGATTTGATCCAACACAGGGTGAGCCCCTTATTCCTTGAAAGATGCTTTACCATTTTGACACTAAGACGTGTGTCATTTTAACAAAGGCACCACAGGGAATATTTTTATTCTGTGTGAGGCAGCAAGAAATGCTGCTCATGAGTTAAATATTAATATTTTACTATACTTTAAAGAATATATTTGGCAGATACATCACACACAAAAATTAACATTAAAAGCATTGTTGTAAGCCCACAAAAAAGAGGGAGTTTACAAATCAAGGGTAAACAGTTTAGGTGTCCCTCTGATCTGCTGTTTCAACCCATTTTTACAAAGCACTAAAAATATGTGGTCGTGCTGGAAACTGTGTTCAGAGCAAACAGTGCCATAGTAATACTAACAGGATTTCAAATAAGATTAACAAATTACTGACTTTGATTAACCCTTTCATTGTTGCAATCTGTGCAGTTTTCTTTGAAATGCTGAGGGATCCCTCCACATAACCATCATCCCCCGTGCTCCCACATTTACTCAAGCTGAGCATAAGGGCTTGGATTTTACAGCACATATCTCAGTAGCACTTTCTAGTTTGAGATGATGTATTCTAGTAAACTGAAGTATAACCATTAGAAATAGTTTAGCTACTGACATTTTCCTTGGGTGTCTCGTTATTGACCTTCGCCATTTAATCCAGTATTTACATTGCAAGCAGAGACGTGCCAAAGGGTTTTCCAGAAATGTGATATCTTTGAAACTGAGGTAGCATCTGTAATCCAGCTGCAGTATCTGAGCCAGCTCCTCAGCTGGTGTAAATCAGCACAGCAGAGCACCATTGAAGTCAGTGGAGCTATGCCAATGGACACCAGCTGAATATCTCACTTTGTACCCCTAGAATAGTTCTTTCCTGCTTCAGATCCACTTCTAATTGATCTTTGTGCCTATCCAAGCTGCTAGAAAGAAGCTTTAACAACTTTAACACTTCATTAGTGCTTAGTGTACCAGTTACATGTGACAAAATGCAGCTCTGGAGCTGTCTTCTGTACCTGGTTCATCACTTCTGATGTGGACAGACTCCAGTAGACAGCCAATGAAATAGTATCACTTTCAAAAACACTATAGTGTACATTCCTTTAAGTCCCCTGTACTGCTTTGTTTTTGTTATCTAGAGGGATGAGATCTCATAATTCTCAGGACAAGCCAAAAGTTAACATCTGAATTAGAAATTCCTTGAAAATGTTTTTTTATGTTGAAAGCGCTGATACAATCTTAACCATAATACAAACCTGGTAGCAGTCTATCTTCTTAATTGCCATAGCTACACAAGTGCCTCTGGTTTGGCTATATAACTTCAAACCAAGGATCTGCTGACATTGCAAAACTAATGGTTAAATATATTCCCCTTACTCAGGTCTAAGCTGATTTCTCAGCTGAGCTTGACTGTGTATTAAATAGTTTTTGATTGCCTCACATCAGATATAGGCCAGGTCTACACTAGAAACTTTTGCCAATGTAAGTATACCAGCAAAACCCCTCCAAATGTAGATGCAAATTATACCAGCAAAAAGTGCTTACACTAGTTCCCCAAAGGAATAAGCTAGACCACCAAAAGCACTTCTATGCTGGTATAACTGTATCTGCACTAGGGCTTCTGCTGACATGTAAATGTCTCAAAAAAAGCACACCTCTAACCAATATTACTATGCTGGCAAATGTTCCTAACATGGTCTGGCTGTACTTTTTTTTTTTTTTACAAGTGTCTATTAATTTTAAACTAATGGTGCAAAAGTATCCATAAGAATAATAATCTATAGGTAGGCAACAAACAGCCCCTTTTCATAAACAAAGACCACATCTGTTACTCTGTTCCACCCCATGCCTACCCCCCCCACCTTCTTAGTGATCACATGGAATTCTTATTTTTAATTCGTCTCATGTCACGTGAAGTACTCTAGTTTTTGTCATTAATCTTATAAAATGCTCAGATGAAGCAAATTTTGCCATGTTGCCATATTAGCCAATCCCTCTCATTTTCCATTTCTTCCAGTAAAGGGACCTGCCCTCAATTTTTATTTTAGCATCACTCCAGATGGTTTGAGTCTGATAAAGCATGATTCAATTTATCCACTCTAACTCCTTAATTGCCATTTGTAGAGCTTCTATGAGTATCTAATGTGACAAAGTTCCTCCTGTATCTTGGTGGGTCCTGTGCTTATTGGCGGATTTTCTTGCCTCAGAGATTCACCATGTGGGTTGGGGAACAGCCCAGAGACCTTCCCCTCTGGGAGAACCCACAGTCCAGGTCAATTGGGAGGTTTGGGGGGAACCCGGGCCCTCCCTCCATTCCAAGTTCCAGCCCAGGGCCCTGTGGACTGCAGCTGTCTATAGTGCCTCCTATAACAGCTGCATGACAGCTACAACTCCCTGGGCTACTTCCCCATGGCCTCCTCCAAACACCTTCCTTGTTCTCACCACAGGACCTTCCTCCTGGTGTCTGATAACACTGGTGCTCCTCAGTCCTCCAGCAGCACACCCTCTCAGCTCCTTGTGCCTCTTGCTCCCAGCTCCTCACACTCCCCCCACAAACTGAAGTGAGCTCCTTTTTAAAACCCAGGTGCCCTGATTAGCCTGTCTTAATTGATTCTAGAAGCTTCTTCTTAATTGGCTACAGGTGTCCTAATTAGCCTGCCTGCCTTAACTGGTTCTAGCAGATTTCTGATTACTCTAGTGCAACCCCTGCTCTGGTCACTCAGAGAACAGAAAACTACTCATCCAGTGACCAGTATATTTGCCCTCTACCAGACTCCTGTACCCCACTGGTCTGGGTCTGTCACATATCCCTCCTCCCTGCTCAACGCCAAGGGGTTGGGCAGCTTGGGACGCCAGACAGTGCACACGTGACAAGCCATCAGCGTTGCCATGACGGCTCCCTGCTCTGTGTTGCACACGGAACTGGAAAGGTTGGAGGGATAAGAACTATCTGGTCACCCTTGTGTTCTCCTTGTTCCGCTGCATCCATTGAAGAGGGGCATAGTCGGTCACAAGGACAAATCTGCGCCCGAGCAGATAGTAGCGCAATGTTTTCATGGCCCATTTTACAGCAAGGCATTCTCTCTCCACAGCTGCATATTTTTGTTCCCTTGGAAGGAGTTTCCGACTGAGGTATAGAATTGGGTGTTCCTCCTCCCCAACTATCTGTGATAGAAAGGCCCCCAACCCTACTTCCGATGCATCCGTCTGCAGGATAAACTCCTTGGTGAAATCAGGGGCTATCAGTACGGGGTTATTGCAGAGGGCGGTCCATAGGCCTGTGAATGCTTCCTCTGCTGCGTCAGACCATCTCACCAGATCAGTCCACGGGCTTTCACTAGGTCTGTCAGTGGTCTTGCCCTTGTGGCAAAGTGGGGGATAAATTGACGGTAATACCCCACCACACCTAGGAACGCCCGGACTTGTTTCTTGCGACTTGGTCGGGGCCAATTTCGGATGACATCTAACTTGTTCACTTGAGGTATTACCAGACCTTTTCCCCACAATGTAGCCAAGATATTTGGCCTCTGTAAACCCTACAGCGCACTTGGCAGGGTTTGCTGTAAGGCCAGCTTGCCTGAAGGTATTGAGGACTGCCTCCACCTTCTCCAGGTGGGTTTCCCAGTCTGGGGTATGAATGACCACATCATCCAAGTAGGCAGCAGCATAACTGTTATGCGGGCGTAATAGCTTGTCCATGAGGTGCTGGAAGGTAGCTGGGGCCCCATGTAGTCCAAAAGGGAGGACAGTATATTGAAAAAAAGACTCTCTGGTGTAGAGAACGCAGTCTTTTCCTTTGCGTCTTCTGCAAGGGGAATCTGCCAATACCCCTTTGTCAAGTGTAGGGTAGTCAAGTACTGGGCATTACCCAGATGGTCCACTAGCTCATCTATGCGAGGTATGGGGTACGCATCGAACTGGGATACTTCGTTTAGACGCCGGAAGTCCTTGCAAAATCTTGTGGTGCCATCACGTTTGGGCACCAGCATGATTGGGCTGGACCACTGACTGTGGGATTCTTCGATGATCCCCAACTCCAGCATTTTATTTTACTTCTGCTTTTATTTCCTCCCTTTTTGCCGCTGGCACCCAATAGGGCCTCATTGTTACTCTGGCCCCAGGGTTTGTGACGATGTGGTGATATGTCTCAGTTGTTCGACCCGGTTTTGTCGAGAACACATCTTGGTTCCGGAAGATCATCTCAGACACCTCATTCTTCTGGTATGGTGTTAAATCGGGAGACACTCTCACCTGTTTGGAAGGCTTGTTTTCCTGGGTTAGGTCTTTTTGAACCGTTGTGCATGCCTCTTCTGCATGCCAGGGTTTCAGAAGGTTAACGTGATAAATCTGTTCTTGTTTTCTGCGTCCTGGCTGCCGCACCTTGTAGGTTACTTCCCCCACGGGTTCAACCACCTCATAGGGACCCTACCATTGGGCCAGAAGCTTGCTTTCTGCCGTGGGTACCAACACCATAACCCGATCCCCTGGTTGGAACTGTCGCACTTTTGCCTGGCGATTGTAATGGGTTCTCTGGGCCTCCTGTGCCTTCTCCAAATGTTCCCATAAATAGGGGTAACCCGGGCTATCCGGTCTCGCATCTGCATTACATGCTCTATTATATTTCTCCCCTCGTTGGGTTCCTCTTCCCAGATCTCTTTGGCGATATCTAGTATGCCACGGGGGTGACGCCCGTATAATAACTCGAAGGGGGAAAACCCAGTTGAGGCCTGTGGTACCTCCCGGATAGTGAACATAAGGTAG